CTAAAAATACAAATTAACATGCATGTGGTTAATTGAATAATTGTGCTGACCTGTGATGGGATTATTTGATTCTACCATCTACCATGATAACTGTATGTACCTGTATTTCTTTTTGTTATTCTGTCTCCTTGAATTTTATTCTTCATGCTGTCGAATAGCTCTCCTGGTTGTTGGAGCATATTTTCTAAGTTGTATTATGCATGTCTTCTAACATTCTTTAAATTTCCATCGATAGGCATTCCACATAAATCTCTTTATAAGTATGAGAGAAACTCAATGTTGATTAAAGTTTTGAGAAAGGTTATATCAACAATGAGAAAGTACTAATGCCTAAAGCCTTATTCACAGATGTCTATATTTCAGAAATAAAATAGGATTATGAACTTGATTTCAATAAACCTATATGAATATTTGTACATTAGTAATTATTACAGCAGTAGACTATTTTTTTGCAAATAAGTTTATGCGCTCACAATTCAACAATAAATTATCAATGTGCAAAATGATTTCTTATAACGAATAAGTGTGGATACAAGGCTTTTAGTTGATGTATTTTCCTTGTTTATAAGTAGGTTTAGTTGATTGAACTTACCTACTAATTAACCAGTACAATTAAACTTTCTTGTACATAAGAACATCTGCGTAAAAGATAGTGACGTTTATCACTTTAAGTCAAAAGAGAAATAGATACAGAAATTATTAGTATGTTCTGTCATTTCCCTGTATTTTTTCTATTCTGACCTTATATGGTAAATGATATTTCCATTAAGAATAAAAACGAATATTAACAATTCTGTACTTTGGTTTTTAAGGGTACGACAGAAGGTAAAATGTCTATTCTACACATTTTTTCTTTGCGGAATCATATAACACTTATTTATCTATGTTTATTGGACACTAGTAACCAGTATGATGTGTCTAATCCCTTTTTTGGTTCAAACAGAATTCTATCAGTCAAGTTTGCAATGTGTCCACCATTCTAGGTAGCTCGCCATCAGGATGCACATTGATTTGATGATATTAGATGGTTGGAGGCAATCGGCCATAGGAAGCCTTGTACCTAGATTTCGTGCTAGTTGGCACTCACCAACGTTGCAAGAACTCATGTCCCTTCGGAGATTCGAACTCGCGTCACCCAGTGCTACAGTCAGAGACGGTACCAATGAGCTATTTGGGCTCGCTATTAACCTCCTGCAAGGGATATGAGTTCCTTCAAGGTTGCAGATACGCCTTGCTGACGAGTGGCACCAAACACGAAACCTAGGTACAAGGCTTCCTACCGATCACCTCCAACCATTTTATACTTATTCGCCTGTTATATATCGTCTTTTTAATTAAAACTGCCTTTACCATAGTATCTCCACTTCTTTCAGCTTATACGAATCATATTCTGAGGATCTTTCCTAACACTAATATTATGAAAGTTAGAGTGTGTTTCTATATATTTGTATGTATGCACATTTCTGTTACTTCAATTAGTTTATCTTTCTGAAAATAACTAACAATTATATTATTTGAAGAACGAAAGTATGTGTCTGCAATCTTGACGAAGCTTATGCTGTTATTTCCCTTCCTTTTACTGCATACAACAACACTGATTGATACTTATGTGAATTTAAGGCTCCATAAAAAAATTTATGAGTATTTGAAGTACTTTTGCACTTGAATGTTTATCTTGTCTTATCTCTGCTATTCGAAACACTGAAAGGTAGACTGACTAAAAACAAAAAAAACAGAAAACTTTTTCCTAAATGAATAAATCTATGTGCTAACATCTAAAATCTCTTCTGTTATTTTTTTCCTTGTCAATAACAGAGTTATGTCTCTAAGGTTATAACTGTTCAGTATAGCATAGCATAGCAGACATCCGAATTTTTTAGCCAGTTTTGTTGGCTAAAGCAAAACATGATTTATATTGAATTAAAACAGTAGTCTATCTCAAATATTGGTGAATGACGCCGAAATGTATCGAAACATTTAAACAAATAAAGGCATGTCTGAATGATAGGAATTATGTTCCAGTATTTTGATCTTTATCTACAGGATTTGAGAACAATAATGACAACTACAACGACAGCCCGCATTATTTTAATTTAATTTGCTACAACGAACATATAGGGCTAACAAAAATTGTGCTTTAACTAAATGTCGTCGTTAAAAATGGCAAAGTGATGATAGAGTATGATAATATGAGCATTATAAATAATTTCTGATTTCCTCAACATCATTTTTGCTCTCTTGCTTTAAATAATCATTTTTAACAGAAATACAATGGATTAGTAGAACTTATAAAAACTTATATTTGAGTATTAACCAGTGCTTAAATTTGTAATAAATATTTCTAGATCAGTGGGTTAATGTGCTTGTGTGATTCTATTATTGTCTTAGCTGACGCGTTATAGTCTGAATTCAGGAGACCAGTCTATGCGTTCTGAAATTTCTTGAGCTGCACTCAGTCACAAAAGGCCCTAATGACAGCAAAAAGATAGTTATTTGGGATGAAATCTGCCTCACTATTTAATAACAACAACATCAAAAACTCGAAATTACCTCAACAGATCAGATAAATTTCTAGTAGAAAAAAAATACTGTCGAATGAAATCAGTTAGCTAAGATTCAACCATAAGAAGTACCTTAGAATCAAGAAGAATATTACCAATAAGGTGGGATCAAAAATCTACTAGCAAGAATCACACACTAACAATTCCCGCGCTCAGTCCAAGGTTGGATTGACCTTGAAACACTAAAACAAAATCCCATCGTAAAACAACACATCAATGCACGACACAGGTACAAAGAGAAACGTTAAAACTTGAGATTAAACATGTAGAAAGACAAATAATAAGAACTGAGTAAAACGGTGGTATGCAGCGAGTAGGGCAATGATATATAGCCTTGGAGAAAAGACGGAAATAATTACAAAGTCAGTTGAAACGTCCAAGGAAGTTTCAATATTGTAATTAGATTGTGCAGAAGGGATTTTCCAAATAGTTATCCCGTTACAGTATCACAGTGCGATAAAAAAATTGATGAAGTAATTCACTTCAACGGTATCTTATTATGGTTGGTATTTTTTCTTCCTTTTAGCTTGCTTTTAAGTATTCATTTCAGGTAAAAAAACACAGAAAAGAACAAGCTTATAAATCAACAAGTAAAAGATTCGAGTCATTTTCATATCCCCCAAAATATTCCAATGATTAACCCTTTGAGGATTTTGCTTTCTGACCTACATTGAATCAAATTGATAGTAGTAAAACGAGGGAAAAAAGAGACTTTCAACAGTTTTATAACATTTATTTAATCAACTCTCTCCGATAAAATTGACTAGTGGTCGCACTATATTATGAATAGGCAAAAGTTGGAATTCACGTCTAATGATTAACTATAGATTACTGTTTTACTTGGCGGTTCTTTATGTGGAGTAGATAAGAACACGCTGATAATTCTTTACTGTATATCAACGTGTTCAGAATAAAGTTATTATTAATAATATTCTTAGACAAACTTAACCTTATTCAAGATGTTTATATGGTTTCCCTCAATTAATAATAACGGGGTTCAGTTATCAGATTCTGTGATAAACAAAGGGTTACTGATAGAATAAGTCCTATCTTTTCCTTTTTTTCCTCAAGTTTTACTTGTTATCGCAGAATGGCAAAAGCTGATAATCAGAGCAATCACGAAAGGCACCATTCAGTTTTATTTGTTTGACATATTAACTTATATATATATATATATACATATATATATATATATATATATATATATATATATATATATATATATATATAATGATTCGAAAAGTTTAACTACCATCATAAAGGATGAAATAATTCCATTTGACTTTTGTTAATTATCATCTTTTATTAAATCAACACAAATCTTATGCGATAGAACCTGCTTGTACTTTGTTTAGAGAAGTTTATAGTTCTCATCATGTATCCCAATTTATTTAAGGCTATATATATATATATATATATATATATATATATAAAAGAAAGATTTAGGTATTTTTATCAATGAATTCTAACGTTTCTTTTATCATTTTACTATTGTGATAAATTTGATATTTTAAAGAAATCGTATTTGTAAATGGACATAGTGATTATAATCATATGATGCATACTATTGCGATTTATAAAATAGTTTTTTTTCTTACATGCATATTCTACATTTCTTCAAATGAACAATTAGTTTGCAGTTGAGCATTTATCATCAATTTGGTTTAATCACTTTATTCCATTAACGAATTTGGTTACAGTAAAATAATCTAACTCAAAACTACATTAAATTCTAATCAGTTAACGATTAAAATGTACTCACGTGTAAATAAATTTTGAAATGGATTTTTCTAATTTCTAACAGAACATTTTCAATAGTCGCGCTAAATTTAATAGAAAGCATTTAAACAATAAATAGTTAATCTACATCGTAATGTTTTACTCTAAATACAATAAACCCTAAAGTACAAAATTAAGCTTCAATGTTAGATATACGTATTATTTTTAATAAGAAATTATATTTTTTAAGTTTTGTATGTCTATTAAATGTTGTTACATCTTTTGTGTATTAACATGGAACGTCAGTACAACTGAATTCCTAATAGATAAGAGTTTGGTTACTTCAATTCATTTTGTAACACGGTTGATGAACACCACTCACATAAACGTTTTTAAGCTTTTTTACCATAGTCGATGATATTTAAACCTACATTGGATAGAGTTCTAAGCATATTTTAGAGAAAACATTTTACAGTCAACATTTTCACTCTAATTTATGAAAGGATTATAAGGTTTGTGTTAAATCATTCACAGCACAGTACTGCATCTAGTAAAATAGTGGTCGCATATGAATTTATACTATTTAACAATAGAATGCACGAGCAAAATATGAGCTATATATATATATATAAAAGTAAGCGTTCCAATGTAAACTCCTTTTTTGATGGGGGCGAAATGACTCAAATGACTCATTTCATTTTCTTCCTTTTCCTTCTATAGAGGTACAATTCGAATTCGGGTCGTCGATGATAATAATTACGAGAAGTCAGAATACTTTTATGTACAACTTGGAGAACCAATCCTTGTGGACAAAGATGGTAGGTTTAAATATTCATAATAGTAATGTTCGAAGCAACAGTTTGATATTTTAACAACAGAAGCATGTATTAATCAGCCATAACGATTAACAGAACTACACTTATATTTCTATTGAGTTATATGGAAGAAAAGGCTTTCAGCAAAAAGTTACTCTTTTTGGCAATTTTTATTTTCAAGTTGTACAATCACATGTATATAGTAAATTCTCTCAGCAACAAAATGGATATTTCAAAATTTGTCATTAGAATTATAAATTTTAGATAACAAATTTCGCCAGTTGGTTAAAAACTAAAATAAGATTAAATAAGCAAGTTGAGTGGCATAAACTAGTTGACGGGAGTGAATAGAGGTCAACTAAAATTAAAACTGGACAAAAGTCAAGTTAACAACATTGGCAATAAGGACTAGAGGTTTAATAAAAGGTGGGGAAAGAAAATATTATACAGCTAAGAAACAAACAAACAAGAAGAAGACACAAAAAAATTAACGTATTTGGTGTTAAGATAGGTCAGGTCCACTGTAGATTTATTGACTGAACAAAAAACTCCCAAACTTGCAATAAACTGAATCTACAATTCAGTGGAGACTCATCGGCAGAAATACTGAGAAATCGCCTGTCCCGCTCACTGAAGAAAAACTTCGCGGCTGAACTCCGAGTAATCTCCTCTGCAAAACCAGTGATGCTCATGAATATGAAGGATAAGCTACCACTGTTGGCCTCATCAGTGTACCTCTCCCAATTCGCCTGCTCGTGTTCAATTTTAGTTTTAGTCGGGCTCCACCCAATGCCGTCAATTAGGTTACGTCACTCAACTTGTGCATTTAATCGTATTTTATTTTTCTAACCCATTAACGAAATTTGTTATCCAGAATTTACAATTGTAATAATTTTATTTCAGTTTCTACCGGGTTAACGTTTCCTACACCACACCAGGTTTTGTCTACAATTCACAATGATAATGACAAATCTTTGGAAATATTCATTTCGTTGCTAAGACAATTCACCACGTATTTGCGATTGTACAGCTTGACAATGATATCATCGAAAAGAGTTCCTCTTTTCTGAAAGCCTTTTCTTTTACAGCACTCATATTTAGTGCGTTTTTTAACTAATCTTAAAATTTTGTAAATATGCTGTTTTGGAGTTTGGATTCTATGAAAAGATGGTTAACGAGTGTAGCTAGATAAAACATACTTTTTATTAAAGAAAAATATTCCGGTTTTTCCTGGGTGAAGCTATATGTATTTGAAAAATCATAAATCTTGTGATGGTTTATGTCAATCTTGATAATTACGATGAAGTTGTGTTCAGTAATTGGATAGTTTGAGAATCCTTCTGAGGTGGTTTTTATGTAGTGTCAAAGTGAAGTTTTCTAGTCAGTGATGGCACTTTATATATATATATATATATATATATATATTCAAGAATCAGTTTGTAGGGAATGTATTTGTTTCATGTTAAACAACAGATTAATATCATTTCGAGAACCAGGGAGCACTGGACAGCTGTTTCGTCCGCCCTGGTTCGGGAATCATCGGCAGTACACACCCACCACAAGAATTCGAACCCAGGACCTTCCGGTTACTATGTAAGCTCGTATACCATTCAGCCACTGGAACTTGATTCAGTGGTCAGTCCATGAATTGTAACTCCTACAAACTCGTGATTTTAGCGCGACCACCAATTAATGTCATCTGCGGGAACTCCATCCTCCCTCCAGACTGGATAGACCTCACTGGTCACAAACTAGGATGAAATATATGTGTAAAACTTGGGCACTGTGGTATTAAGTAATTCCATATTAGTTTGATTATTAAATGTATCACACAGTGAAACATTTAATAATCAAACTAATAATAGGATGAAATAGCTGTCCAGTTCTCCCTGGTTTTCAATGATTCTCTACCTGATGTCAATTCGTGGTCTAACCTGAAACATATATATATGTATATATGCATCAGCGTTTGTTTCAAAAGAATGCTGTTCAATGCAATAATATTCTCTGTAACTGTTGTCACTAATGCAATTAGCAAATTAATTAATTATATTATACAACCTAATGTACAGAAATCACTGGAATTTCTCTTTCATGTTTTTTTTCACTTATTTTTCATGTGAAACACAATTTTTTTCTAAAAAAAATCAACTTCAACACTTTGTACAGAAGAATATTTCTTACCACCAGTCTATAATTATCTATCAAATTGCCCTTCAAACTTTCCATGTTTGAAGTATTTATGTATAGAATCAGATTACTATCCGAAAAATAGAAAAAATGTATTAATCAAGTATACTGTCCCTGATATTATCTTATCCAATCCAGTCATTTGATTTATGCGTTTTCCTATATGTAAACTATCAAAAATGTCGGCAACAATAGCTTGCCTGAAGGTGAGAACAAGTTCACAGTAAAATAACGAAGGTTTGATAATAAAGGTACAGCAAAACTGAAATTCGCTCTTAAACTTTGGAACGTTTAGTTTTCTTTCAGTACATAGTCATATCTGTAAATCACATCACTATTGCCGATGTTTAACTTCAGCTTCAACTAGTTTATTCTGATACTGGCGTTGAAAAATGTTTGCTTAATTGGTGTACATTCTGAAACCACAATGCACTTAAACTACCTCACTTTCTCCTGGAATTTAAAGTCTCCCTTATCACTCGTTCTTTCACTTCATAGAGTCATTAGAATTTATGAGCAATTAAATTACTTCTTAGAGATAGAGGTTTTATAGTCATAAAATATTGTGACTCCACAAGGCAGTACACATAATGAAAAAATTGCTATGTCCCGAATTCCATTAAAAGACATAAGGCGCTTCACGCCTAGTCTTAAAAATCAGTTTCCTTATAGCCTTTTAGATTTAAAGAAATTATTCAAGGCTTTCGTCTCTTACTGAAGTTAATGAGCACATGAAGTTCCATAACTTTTGTCTACTTGATGGCTTATCTCAAGTGGGTAAGACTGTCTTTGATAAATTATGTAACAGTGATAACGGGATCCACCAAGCCAGGTAAGAAGACATTTACTCAGCGAAAACATTGACTGACTAATGCGCTCTAATGCCACATATTGGCAGAAGTTGGAACTCGTGATCCATTGTATCGTCATCGAATTGCTGAATGGTCTACGAGTTTGCCCTGTATCAAAAGCTCCTGGGTTTGAACCCCGATGGGTGCGTGCTACTGAAGAGTCCTAAACCGGGACGAAACAACTGCTCTGTAATATCTGGTTTTCAGCCTATGAGGAAACCTGTAATAACATTCTAATTTTATAGATGACTCCGGAATTAAAAGTAGCTCACCTATCAAGAAAAATGACAATGTTCAAAAATTAACACCTGTAGTTTTCCTTACGTTTTCAAAGTTTACTTATTCGACCAAAACTTGACGTAAAAGTATTCATTTTGGCTGAAAGCCACTATGCTTCCTGATGTGAATGCTTCCCAACTGCTTATATTGATCAGTAATGTATACTCGCCGTATAAATATTTTGTATCTCAAAAGTCTTAAAACACAATGACGTTATCGTAGCATTATAGAATAGATAATATACCACGAATATTATCTTCACAATACAAAGTGATCTGCAAGTTCATTGGTGAAATCAACTGGAGCGTTTGTAATTAAGACGAAGTTATGCAAGGCGGAAGTACTCCTTTTCCGTGGAACACACTAAAATTTCGCTATCATGTAGATACACTGAGTGCTTCAATTTTGAAAAAAGTTGTCCTTTTTCTAAGAATTTTATGTTAATGACTGAGATTCATCTCCCTTGTTACTGATCACAAACAAACCCTAAAACGGTGAGTAACAGGTTTATATCGATGAGCATTACTGTAGTTACCAGCAAATTGTCTCTGGGTGACTCGTACTTAAGTGTTTTGATGAAACTATTGCCCAGATGAAACATTTGCACTTGGGAGAATTTCAGATTTCCATTCATATAGTTTACCTTATGTTCTCAAATGATGCAGAGTGGTTCTTTAAGATTCAGATTTCCACCTACTTCAATTAGTGAACAATTACAAAAGTAGGTGGTTACTGATTGAATAAGCGTTCAGAATATTCCCAATCACGAAAAAAAAAGAAATGTTATTGTCATGACCACTAACGAAATATCGAAACGGCTCCAAGACTAGTGGAAGGGGGGGAGTAAAGTTGTGTTGTAATATGTCTGCATAAATTTGTAAAATTCAAAACAAAACTAACAAATAACTATGACGCAAGAGTAATATTTAATCACAGATTTCCATCATTGTTTACAATAAAGTCACTTGAATAGTGCGCATTTCAGAGAAAATCCACTCGTTTCATTGGATGACATCGTCTGTAGACTTAAAAAAACATCGAGCGAATATTAATGAGAAATGGATTAGAAACAACAGAAACTAATACTATTAGTAATAGTAGTACTAATTGTACTACTAAAATTGTTAATAGTTTTATTATTGATGGTAAGTATTTTTTTCCTGTGATTTTTCTCCTACAAATATTTCTAAACTGTAAACATATAGAGATTAGTTATTCCCAGTATTTTTGATTGTCATATTATTCATTCTATGTCTACAAATGCCAACTGTGTTGGCGACTTCAGGTGAATGGTTCTTTATACCTCATGATCTGTTAATTAGATAACAGAATGGGTACGATATATACATATATATGTTTAGAAATGTTTCTAGGTTTCATTTTACATGTACTTTGTTATTTCAGACAATATTATATATTAATCCTAATTGCTAATGAATGATTTGCTGAAAGATACGTGAAAGACTAGCATTAGTTTCAACTAGATATTCTTCATTCTTTAGCAAGTATACTTAAGTTCAAATATGTATCAAAATGTTGCCTAAATACGATGTTTTTAATGCCATCTTTAAATTACGGTCAACATTTGAATATGTTACACTAGTAAACAGATGTAGTGCTTGATGGAGTTCTGTACAGAGCTTTTTTAATAAAGAATAATAATAATTTGCTTTATTCCAAAACAGTACTTGCGATACAGAATGGATTTCTCAGCATTTTACTACAGTATTGCATCCAGTTAGTACATTAACAATAAATAAAATTCTGCATAGATTAAGGAAATTTCAGTTCATTATGACTGCAACATATTGGTATGTCGGTAGCAAGGCCAAAAATTGAATAGTGTTTGAAGGTGTTAGAAAAGTAGATGCTAGCATATTTACTGGCGTTAGCAGAAGAAAGAAACAAAGCTGCACATAACAGAGAAAAAAAGAGAGAGAAAAGGAAAAGAAAGAAAACGTTGTACCTATAAATGATATGAGTTGGAAAGACGAGATCCAGTTGTTCTACTGACTATTTAATAAGTAACACCTAATGTTTTCTTTATCACACAGAACACGAGCTAAGTAGGGTATGGTTGAGTTTTTGTACTTACTAGTGCAAGCATATAGTTTTCTATATAGGCTTCTGGTCTACCTGCCTGATGAGATACAAGGGGAGAGTTGTGAATGAAGAGGGTGGTGGTGTGAGTTAGATAAAATGGATTTAGCTCATTTCTCACATGAGTCCATGTGCCTGTCAACAAGCTGGTTAAGTGGCATGTTGCTTACCCTGCTCACAACCTTTAACATCCTGCATAATAAGGTATAGTCTTTCTTCAGTAGCTTTAGAAAAACTACGGGGGAACAAAAGAGAATAATAGGCAGAATGCAAAAGTTAACGAATTGCAGGAGTAAGGGTTGGGTTATCCCAGAATATCTTAACTTCTTGATGTAGAAAGTAAGACAGAATATTTTCTTAGAAATCATCAAGATATGAGACGACCAGGAAAGATCAGTGGATAGAATGACGCCTAGGTATTTAATTTCCGACTTGGTTTCTATTTCAGTGCCATCTATGTTGCACTCCTCGTGAGTGCTAACCAGTTTATTTAGGTCAGATTTGTGCCTAAAGGTGAAATTAACTGTTTGGCATTTGGAGGGGTTTAAGGTGAGACCATTTTCCTTGGACCACTGGCTGACTTCTGATAAAAAGCCATTTAGTTTAGAGCAGTCACTTTGACATCTGTTAGGCAAAGATACAGTCAGGTCGTCAGCATTTTTGACAAAATCGATGTCACTTGAAGATGGTACGTCATGTAGAAAGAAAGAAAAGAGAAGTAGGGAGTGTACAGCACCTCGGGAGACACCAACTTCAGTGAGCACAGCAGGGGAGGATTTGCCTTTGTATACGGTATACTGCATTCTGCTAGAGAAGTAGGAATGCAACCAGTTAGTGACCCAGGAGTCAGTTTGTGTCATAGAGAGCTTATTTAGCAAGAGATATCTAGGTACAGAGTCGAAAGCAGAAGTGAATTCGAGAAACGTGCAGCGGACGTATTTGGCACCTTTACCTAATGATGATGTGTAAGACGGCTGCAGCGTCTAAAGTGCTCCTACCCTGTCTATAGGCAAATTGTTTAAGATCTTCAAAGCTTTTAAGGGAGGGTTCGAGTTTAAGAAGTACTAGTTTTTCCATAAGCTTTAAAAATGGAGAAGTGATGGCAATGGGTCTGAACTTTACGTTCTTACCTTTGCCAGGTTTAGGGACAGGGACTCTTTTAATGTCTTTCCATGGAACAGGTACAACGCTTTTGGAGAAAGAAGCATTTAGGATGTTAGTTAGTGACTTATTATTGACTAATATTGACTAGGAATGAAATAGGCTATCTAGGCAGGTTTCTGTTGCTTTACCAATGAAGTCCGGTTGGTCCCAATAAACACTGAAGTTGGTTAACAGAATTAAAAGGAACTAATTATACACAACTTTTACATTGACTGAACATTATTATCCAATCGTTTGTATGTGTTACCTTGCTATGCTGTTTGTGTCTTATGCTCAATATCAGTGCCAATGTATATGGGGATTTGTTTCAGTGAATGGTTCTCTTATGCATATAAAGTAAAGATTGAAGCGTTGAAAACAAATCTTCTGCGTATATATGGATATTTTAAACCAATAGATGGTATTTCACTGAATTCGTGATCTTTCTTCAAACTCTCTAGTTGGTTGTTTTTAATTTGAAACAACCATGGTAGTCGTAGTTTAAGATAGTAGAAAATTCTTTGGATTCTATGGTTGAGTATAGCTGTCGTACTCAGTAGGTGATTTATAGCGTTGTTTACTGGATGACGTTTCGTACAAAATCTATTTTTCATAAATATACATATATCATAAGAGCAACAGAATCCTGTATCATCTAGTACGTAGTATGTTGTATGACTCACTGTGTACGACATCACAAAAATGAAGTAATATGAAGTCTGTGTATATTTTAGGCGGAATTATTTTCGTTATTTCTTCAAGTATGGTATAATTCTTGGACGTCATTATTATTTGTCGATTTACTCGGTTTCATTTCATTAATGTCTGTTTTAATACAGATTTGATTTTAATTTGCTGAACAGCGGTCAATGTAGACATTTCCTTTCAATGTCAAATATAATTATACTTCTGAGATCTCAGATTTTTCAAAGGCTGTAATCTGTAAAGTTAAATAAAATAACTGCTGTTTAAATTAATGTAAAAAAAGTAGATAGGTCTACTTCTATGCTATCAAATTCCTTTATAATATTCACTAAAACACTTTAACTCATTTCTATGCAAAATTTTTCCGGCTCATGCATTTTTTCTTCACGTTTCTAATTTTAAAACTTTAACAGTGTTAAAGGTGAGATAAAAAGACATTTCACTATACAAAGTGCAATGCATAAAAATAGTTGTGAATACAATTTACTTTGCTCAAAAATGTCATTCATAAAAAAAAAGAAAAGAAAAACAACTTCCAAATTATTTCTGTTTGAAAAATAAAACACAATGTAACTTGTTCTTTTCTGTAATAACGCGGAATTTACTGTAGTCATTCTTTATAATTGCTTCTGTGTACAGTGTAAATAGCATATTTGAAAAATCTCTACAAAGAGTAAAGTAAAATGTCATTCTATCACCTTTTAGTCTTTATTCATCTAATTCAACAACAGATTCCATTTAATCTTATAAAATAAATTTAAATTTAGCTGTAGCAGTACGACGATGCATGGATAAATTTCGTCGAGCACGTGAATCAATCAAAGGTTAGTTAGTTTAACAGAGTGGAGGGTGTGTAAGCATAGTATTCAGTTGGTGTGTTGGTTTACACAGTCTGCGAGTAACTGGTGGTGATACTGCTTTTCTTTTCTTCACAGTAATGGGTTGAAGCTAACCAGAGTAATCTAACCACTTTATTGAATAATTAACAATATTTTTACTTGGCTTTTCTATTAATTAAATGTCGATTTTTTGTTGATAGCTGCAGAAGAATTATCTTCGTTTCAGTTTACTTGGAGTTTTGGGCGTTTGATTTTTTGGTGATTATTTCAGAAATGCCAAAGCACTTGGCCTTTCAGTTATTTTCCTATAACCCTTGAAATAATTCTTCAAAGTCGGCCTTGTATTTTGGAATAATTTCAATAGAAGTTGTCGTTTTTAGAATTAAAGGTGCGTCGGTGGCACAGTGGTTAGGACTCTCGCCGACCATGCACATGGTCCGGGGTTCGAGCCCTCGCCGACGCACACCTGATATCTATGGTTGGCCTGCGAAATTTGGGCTACCGATATCCATGCTGAAAATTCCACACTTGTACCAAAAATACGATGTGGAATCAAGCTGTAACCATAAAATAAAAATAAAAAATAAATAAAGATTGCTTTGTGAAAAATGGCATTAAATCGCTAAAATCTTTGGATACTGTTATCTTCAGAACAATTGGGTCTACTTCTCAACGATTATATGATAGATAAGACTCTTCTTCCTGTGCTAACATCTACTTTTACGACATGTTTCCATTTTGCTTATATCTGTCGTATATTGTGACACCCGGTTAACTCTTTTTCCGGTAAACTTACAGTCTGCCCTTTTTCTTTTCTTGGACTTCTGTTTCGTGAAACATACCTACACAGCATTTAAGTAAAATTCAATTATAGTGATCTTAATTCAAAAATGAAGTACAGTGATTTAACAAACAGGTAGCTTATCCGTAAGAAAAGTTTAAATCAGTTGTACTTTTATTCTCACCTTAATCATATATATGTATATATTAGCGTAAGAAATATTCTAACCAGACGATGTGGATGAAAGTAATTGCTAAGCGATGATGACAAACATCTAGAAACATCATAAACCTAATAAAGGACAAATAACATTTCTTAATATTAGTTAGTAACCTTTGTATCTTCGTTTGAAATATTAACAGACTAGCTATCTTAACCCACATTGTAAATCTGTACGAATTTGTTTACTTCTGTAACTTATCGCCTTATAATTTTCACCACTTTTTAATCATCCTGTTTTATTAAGATTCTCATGTAGGTTTGACAGTATGGTTTGAACTTTTTAGTGTTTTTAAATCTTTTTGAAATTGAAATTGGTTGGTGGGGACCAGCATGACACCTTGAACGCAGATTACGTGCATGTTGGTATTTGTCAGCAAGACATATCTACAATCGGGTGGTAACCGAGAGCTTCTCAGAGCTTTGAGCTAACATCACCCAATATTAACAACACACTCAGAAACTATCGCATTGAGCTATTTGGTCACATGATTGAATTCCTGTAGGACTGTATTGGACGCCTCATCAATATTCCATGGCAAATCTGTAGTATTAGTGCTGACTGAATTATGTCAGTCAAGGTTGTAATGTGGTCAGCAAGTAGGGTGACTCTCAGTGGTCTTTAAATCGATTTCAGGTGAATTCAGACAATAGTAGGTAAGTTACCTGCTTGCTCGACCATTTTATTTGAACAAAAATTAAAAAGACGGTCACATTGAAGAAAAATGTTATTTGACGGGGTTGTTAGTTCGTGTATATGCGGTAAATGTGTGAGAAAGTTCTAGAAGTATTTCCTGTAGAGGGTCAAATTAACAAGACTGCAAATAGAGACTGAAATATAATAATAATAAAGTAAGCAGGAAGATCGGAAAAAACCATAGTAGGAGTATAATTATTGAAAAGATTGACTTTTTGTGCAACTGGGGATTAAAAGCTTGGTAGTGATAATGGAGACAGGAAGTTCGAATAAAAAGGCAGTAGTGAAAAAAACGCAAAAATAACCGAAATAAACAGGAAGTTTGAATAAGAAATGTAATAATAATAATGATTTACTTTATTCCAAAAACAGTACTTGTGATACATAATGGAATTTTCAGCATTAATCACAATATTGCATCTAATTTCTTCAAATTATAAATAAAATTAATCACACAGAGAATTTTCCACATTTACAATAGGGATAACGTCAAAAACATGTAGCATATAAAATGGAAATAATAATGGTGATAACAGCTAAGGTAATAATAATAATACAAGTGGAAATCGCCGTCGGCTTGTTACACACAATACTATCAGTGCGGTAGAGAAATCCTAGCATGTTTAAAAATATTGAATATAATGTTCTCTTTACATGATATGGTGAGGGGAGAAACAAAGATTACAGCAGTCATGGAGATAAGTTGGTGTTTGCAATTATGAGAGTAAAACAAAGAAGAAGAATCATTATTAAGAGAAATTACTGCTTATTATGGCAATAGTAAAGACAAATGTTAGACGTATTTCTTTCGCATACATATCGTGAGTATGAACTTTTAGACCCCTAGTGCCTCACCTTTGTCCAGATACCCTGATCTGACTCCCTTTCAAAGTCTGGTCGGATTTTGTATGAGATTTTAAAAAAGACTTTTCAAATGAAGCTAAATGTCCTGAGTTTATTAGATGTTATGATACAGAGCTATATACACACCTACGTTCTCCCCTTGCTAGCCGGGTTGAATAGTGTTTCCCACCGCGTTTTACAAGCAGATGCATGGTACGGCCGATGTACTCAGCTTCACAAGCTTCACAAGGACAAGCGCACTTGTATACACCTGCTGAAGTGGCCCAATGCGACAGCTTGTCTTTCACATGCTGACTGAATCACTCCTTGCACGAAATTGTTACTCGTCGACTGGCGGAAATGTTTGCGTAAAAGTGAGTGTGTTTTTAACATTCTTACTTTTGTGTTGTTGCAGTCTAATAACTAGTTTTAGTATAAGGATCACCGCAGTTTACAGCTAAACACAACTGAAGCAAATATTATTTCTCACTTCTTATAATAATCACATTTTTCTGTCTGTTTCTTATTACTTTCAGTCTTTATAATGAGTATATCTTCATCTCTTATTATCTAGTCTTTATTAGGATACAACTCTTCTTGATGACGTAAACAGAAAAACTTTTTTTAATATGCAAACAAATGTCCTAAGAAAAAGGCATAAACAGTGAAGAAAATTTTCTTTTCGAAGTTTCATTTTTATAAGCTCTACAACCGTAATTATATTTAACAAAGGATTCATAGGACCAATCAGATAATGGTAAAATTTGTCCTCGAAAATCTGCTACATAACGTAAGGTGTAGTCTAGAAGGGGTGACCAGTTGGAAATTAGAAAGAGGGCACACGTTGGAATGACGTAATAAGTGTGAGAAAATGACCAGCTTGGCTAACCAAGGAAGAAAAGGAGAATACTAGCAGCTCTATCCTTGAACACCTTGTCAGCTCTTGAAGTCGAGCGCCCCTGCATGAATGATTCACAGTGCTACACAAAGTTCCTCAATATCTTACTAAAGGACTTTGAACACCTCATCTGTACATAGCTGAATCATTGGTTATTTGGGATCTGAAACCGTACCTCTGCATTCAAAAGCACAACATACATTCACACGCCTTATCGGTGGCACAGCTGTTAGGACGCTTGCCGACCATGGATATGATTGGGGGTTTGATCCTCGGCCGACACACAACTCATATCAGTGGTCAGCCTCCTTAATTAGGGCTACAGATATCACATGCTGAGAATTCCATAGTTGTACCAAAATACTGTGTGGAATCAAGCTATAATAAAAAATTAAAAAATAAAAGTTTATTGTTATTATTATTATTATTCCCATCATCCATATTTTTTATCACCCTATTACTGTTTATTAATAACATCGCATTTTCATACAGATTTTATAAAAACACTTTATCGCCTTTCCGATAGTTCTTGTCCATTCTACACAATTACATTGACTTGCCATTTTTCACACTTATTCCGTCATCCTAACTTCTGCCCCTTCTCAAATTTACACTTAGTCAGCCCTTCTAGATTACACCTTACCCTATGTAATACATTTTCAAGGACAAATTTCACCACCATCTGATTGGTCTTAGAAATTATTTTTATCTATGCCTAAACGTAGCGTTGGTGGCACAGCGGTTAGGACGCTCGCCGACCATGCACATGGCCCGGGATTCGATCCCCGGCCGACTCACTCCTTTACCTCACTAAGCTAGAAATAATGCTGGTAAAGATGAAAGGTTGGGCATGTGGCTAGCAACCTCATCCTGTAAAAATAAACACTGCTACAGAAACTATAAGCCACTAGCTTGAAGCCCTATGCTCCACTGGGGAAAGTGAAGGTAAAAAATTTTATGTCCAAACCCAGTTCACTTTTAACAGTTTGAAATAATTTGGACCTCGGTTATATGATATTTATTGTTATAAAAGTTTTTTTTTATTTCTCGATGTCGTTCATTGGGAAATAGAAAAACTTTTATAATAAGGATTAGGAATTTTTTGTTAAATATAATTACAATTGTACAGCTCATGAAAATGAATCGTCGAAAAGAGAATTTTCTTCGCTGTTTATGTCTTTTTCTTATGACTCCATATGGGAATATTTCGTTCAGTAAATTTTTACGAGTTGATCATGGATTGCTATCAGTTAGAGAACCATTGAAAACAAGCAGGGAGTACTGGACAGCTGCTGTTTCATCCTAGTTTGGGAATCATCGGCAGTACGCACCCACTGGGATTCGAATTATTTATATACACTTCTACCACAGTTTACTTTAGTTATCTCATCGCAGTTAGTTTTTCACCTTACTAATATTGTTTTGTTTTCTTTCCTTGAAAAACCATCTTCTAAATCGATAAGCTGAAGAATAAAATAAAAGACTTCCACACCCAGAAATAAAAAATTTCTTATCAGTAATATTTAGCTGTTAAATATTTATTTCAA